TACTCCTGGCATACTGAAGTGTTTGAGCAGGTATTGGCTTTGTGATGAATAGGTTTAGAGCTCAGGAAATGTGAGGCAAAAAGCAATCCTATTTTGTGTTTCAGAGAATTAAATGAGAAAATGTAAAATCCCAGATAATAAAAGACAGTTACATCCAAAACCATATCTGTGAGGCTTGAAAAACACACATTATCTTATGTTTCTTCAAGCCTTCAAACAAGTGGCATAACACAGACATTAATGTCGTTTGTAATGTCAACAGAGGACATGACTTTGTTTTACAATCTCCTTGACACAAATTAAGAGTTTTTACATAGAACTTTCCACACCAAGTGATTTAAAATATTTATAATCCAAACTATAAATAATTAATCATAAAATGAAAGAACACCGTCAACAAGCAATAGATTTCACAAAAAAGATTTTACAAACTGGAATTTTGAACAGTGGAGCTACTTCATGTCTTGTAGACTTGACGTGTCTGAAAAGGTTTTCTGGACAAGGATAACTCAAAAATCACCACCTGTTAATCTTCTGGGAGTTTTCATTTGATGACTTGCTATTTAGGTCAACTTTTTAAAAAAAACAACAAGAACAATCCTTTTAAAATGGAACGACAGAAATAAAAACATAGAACCTTCAAAGTTTCTTTTTGATCAAAATGATACATTTTGATTTTAAGAATAACATTCATGCAGTTAGTCAGATAAATATATTCATTTCCTTAAAAAAACAACGAAAAAAACAATGCAAAGTTACATCATTATAATGCAGTTGAATGTGAATTTCGGGAAATACTTGGGGTCTGACTGAAGGATTTCTGTCTGGCATTTATTTTGGTAAAAAATAAATAAATAAAAAGCAGCTACACAGTAAAATTATGAATTAAAATTATAGTTGGAAGCTACACCCTGTTCTCATTTCCTCTCGTTTTTGTCTTCTATATACAAGTTGTTTTAAATTTCAAATAAAACACAATTGTTTTATATATATTTATATATATATATATATATATATTGAGCAGGTATTGGCTTTGTGATGAAAAGGTTTAGAGCTCAGGAAATGTGATATATATATATATAAAATTCCCTTCTCAACCCACGGGTGGTTCTTATCCTCTGAGCTCGGGTCCTCTACCAGAGGCCTGGGAGCTTGAGGGTTCTGCGCAGTATCTTGGCTGTGCCAAGGACTGCACATTTCTGGACTGAGATGTCTGATGTTGTTCCTGGGATCTGTTGTAGCCAATGCTCCAGTTTGGGGGTTACTGCCCCGAGGGCCCCGATGACCACAGGCACCACTGTGGTCTTCACCTTCCAGGCCCTCTCCAGTTCTTCCCTGAGGCCCTGGTATTTCTCCAGTTTCTCGTGCTCCTTTTTCCTGATGTTGCAATCACTTGGTATTGCTACATCAACCACAACGGCTTTCCTCTGATATTTATCCACTACGACAATGTCTGGTTGGTTCGCCATTACCATTCTGTCTGTCTGGATCTGGAAGTCCCACAGGATCTTAGCTCTGGTGTTCTCCAACACCTTTGGGGGTGTTTCCCACTTTGATCTCGGGGTTTCCAGTCCATATTCTGCACAGATGTTTCTGTACACTATGCCTGCCACTTGGTTATGTCGCCATGTATGCTTTCCCTGCCAGTATCTTGCACCCTGCTGTGATGTGCTGGACTGTCTCAGGGGCCTCCTTGCACAACCTACACCTTGGGTCTTGTCTGGTGTGGTAGATCTGGGCCTCTATTGCTCTGGTGTTTAGGGCTGTTCCTGGGCGGCCAGGATGAGGGCCTCTGTGCTGTCCTTGAGTCCAGCTTTTTCCAGCCATTGGTAGGATTTACTGATATCAGCCACTTGGGTTATTTGCTGGTGGTACATCCCATGTAGGGGCTTGTCCTCCCATGATGGTATCTCTGGCACCTCAACCTCCGTTCCCTTTGTCTGAGACATTCACTGAGCACATTGTCTGTTGAGGCTTTGTCCCTGATGTATTTATGGATCTTAGTTGTTTCGTCCTGGACAGTGGTTCTCACACTCACTCCTCTGCCTCCTTATATTATATTATATATATATTATATATATATATATATATATATATATATATAGATATATATATATATATATATATATATATATATATATATACATACCCACACACACACACACACAGCGTTTTGCAGATTTCATTGGCATTCATTGACTTTTTTTTCAACCAGGGACTAAGATGAATTGCAGTTCAATACTTTGAAAAACAACGGCAATTTAGAGCTAACCAAGCTCTAAATTGTATGGACTGCTTCATGATTGATTTTAAAATTTAGTGTCTTTTCAGCACAGCAAGTCTCAAATGAAGTCTAAATGCTTTCAGAATTGCATGTTAGTAATTATTCCTCTTTCGGAATAATGAAGCTTCATCCACATCACCTTTCTTTAAAACAGAAATGTCTGGTCTTACTGATTAATAATCAGTTCAAATTCATTATAAATGCCTTTGAAAGTAATATGATAATATATTTATAATGCCAGTTCAAAGGCATTACAAATGCCTTTGAACTCATTAATGCCACACACATAAAAAACAGCTTTCTTGATGTATTTCTGACATTTATACTTCAAAACAGAAATGGTAATCTCAGCCAAAATGTTTTCTCAACATGCAGTTGGTGTTGTTTATTTCTTCACATGGGCTTCAAAACATTCTTCTGCACTTCTTTCTTAAGCTTATCTGATGGTATCTTGTACCATAAATGGTTTGTCAACTACTGTGGCATTTGAGCGAAAACTGTCTTTATACTAAGAGAAATTCTGCAACTCAATTGAAATCTAGCATTCATGCCTTTTTGGCATTAGACTATAAGTGCATGCCATGTCTTTAGTTATCCACTCTGTCTTGCAAAAGTTGTCCAAACAGATTACATTTCTAAATAAAATTTTGTTTGCTGCCCTTTTGAAGGGCAGCAAACTACTTTTCTATCACATTTGTGTCTGAATCTTAGCCATTTCAAAACTAATTGTCTTGATATGAAGAAATATTTACTTTTAAAAATATGTAAATCTGTGGTTCTAAAATGGTAAAGAAAAAAAATTGATAACCAAAGAGAAGACATAGATAATCTGAGCAGGGCATCAGATAAGTTTAAGAAAGAAGTGCAGAAGAATGTTTTGAAGCTCACTGTTGAAACTTACAGGATAACATTTGGTACACATGATCTTCTAAGTGTTTTTTGTGAATTCAGCTGCTGAGCAAAAAAAGAGCCAGGGTGTGTTATGTTGTAGTGTGTTCACCAACAAAACCATCCTATCTGCAACTGCAAAATTTAAAAACAACAAGCACCCTAATTGAGAGATAAAAAGGTTGTTTTGATTTTGTTTTGGGGGGTTTTATTATTGTATTAGAAAATGCAGCAATCTCAAAGGCATTGTGTACAATTCAATGCTAAGTGTGGTGAACTGTTGGCTTGCTATTTTGGCAAATAGATGAGCTGAAGCTATCAAATAAATACTATTGTAACAAAGAGTAAAAAACAACATACAAAATGATGCAAAAGCATTGTGGCTAGTTTGCTCATTTATAGGAAGAAGAGCTTGCAAGCTTATGTTGCTGGTGCTGATAAATGAAAAACTGTTTGTGTCTTTCAACTAACAGGTTCTTCCTTTTCAAGATGGGGAAGGCAGGGAGTAAAGTTCTACAGCAAACCTCGCTGGATGGGGTTCAAACACAGGTAAAAACCAACATTAAATGAACTCCATGTCCACACAAATCCATACAATCCTCCACACAAACAGATGTAGAACTTAAGTGGTAAATGCACTAACTCTGCATTAAGGTAAAAACACATTAAACCTCTGCAATGATTAGTGCTCTGGTAGCTGGAAGTGAGATCATGTTGTGGTAAAATGGGCCAGATGCTGCTCTCCCTGTGCAGATTACACAACCAGGATCAGAGTGCTTATTTTCACACTTCCTGCATCACACCAAGTCACTTAATAACCAACAACCAAGAGAGTGGGCACTGGACCAGCTATTCCAGGCATTAAAGATTCTGTGATTTAGTAAACCAAGAAAATGGCCACTTGTGGAACATAGGTGTATTAGGTTCTGGTAGCAAATGGCTACAAATTGCAATTAATTATTTCAAAGAAAAGCAGCTGGTCCAACCCTCCAAACGGCATAACTTGGTTTTGGGGCCCTCTATTTCTACGAATGATGTGGATTACTGCACTCAACAGTCAGACGATTGCATCATTTGCGCACCTGCTATAGACTCATTACATCTCTGACAGTGGTGTTTACATTATGTAATATATGTATCCTAAATTTATTGTATTTAAAATGCATTTACAGTAAAACGATTATCTGGTTTATCATCATGGGCTCCAAAAAACTGTAACAGCAATGTGGAAAAATAATGTTCAGTGCAAGTACAGCAGACAAATGAATTAGACCAGAGGTTATACTCATCTACCAACACTGAATAGGAGTATCTAGTTTATATACTTTTGATCAACATTAGATCATTTTTCTTCTTTTGTTTTTTCTTTTGGTTTGTAATTTTGTTTGCATTTCCTTTTAATTCCTGTAAAGCACTTTGTATTGCCTTGTTGCTGAAAATGTGATAAATAAATAAAATTACCTTTACCTTTGCAAAATAACTTGGAAACATAAAAGCAGAATTATACAAAATAAGACTACATTATCAAGGAAATACTGAAATAAAGTAAATGAACAATTACGCTTTAAGCACTGCTCCTATGTTTGCCTAACCATCCTGTCCCCTGGTTGCCAGTTTTGAGGACTTGTGGAAAAAAAATGTACTGTTTAAAAAAAAAGAAAAAGGATCCATAATTCTTGAATAAGTCAGCGAGCTCCCTTGACTTTTTTTTTCCATTGACCAACTGTGTGTAGGCATCGTGATGGTGAAAACTTCAATCATTATGCCTTTTAGAGGAGGAAACGTTCTCCTTAAAAGCAAGTGGTCCTCTGATTTTCTGTTAACTTACCAGGCAGATCAGCAGTGGTTCCAGATAGGGGCACAGAGGATGGGGGTACCAGACTTAGTTCTGGAGAGTATGGAAATGGACCTAAAGAAACACATACACACATATTCATGATATGCATTATTTAAATTATTTTGTATTAGTTGTAACACCCCTCCACACACTCACAAACCAAATGACCCCCCCATGGACATGGTCAATACATGCACTTTAGTTTAGTTTTTTTCACAACACTGAACCTGTGTATTCTATGGCACTTGTATTGTATTTATTTATTTATTGGGTAGTATAAGGTTTTAGCTCTGCTACACTGGTAGCCAAGTAACGACATTTCGTTGTCAAGATTCACCTTGTGTTTTTTTTTGTACAATGACAATAAAGGAAGTCTAAGTCTAAGTCTAAGTCTAAAAATTAAATGTATACTAGGTCTATATTTCTCTGACCTGCTGCATTGCCCTCGGTTGAGCCTGATAATGCAGATTTAACACTATATTCTGTGACCACCGTATATTGTGACAGTCAGTAGGAGGCGCTATTGCAGTTTTATACCACACTTTGTGACAGATATTATAAAGACGAGAACTTTATAGTAAAATAAGTTACTGAACTATTATAGCATTTCTGGAACAGCTGTTACACCAGTAATAAAATCTGACTTGTTATTATCAGGACAAAGGAAAGAGTGAGCGTCTGGTTGAAATATTTTGTATTTTACAAGTTACAGGGTCAGTGGTCACGATATGTGATAAGCGCCATCATGTACCGTGATCATCTATATTTCCATAATACTCATAATTATAGTGGTACCATGTTACTTTTTATTATTTGCTCTGTCTTTTTTTAATTTTTCATTTTGAGTCTGGCCGAGGTATGGCAAGGCATGTGGTCACAGAATACGCTGTAACACCTGTCAGGCACTGGGCTAATTCTGAGCCGCCAAAATATTATATATCACATATAACTTATAAGTTGATGTAAAATAATGTTTGTTTTAGCCATATAAATGATCATATTCAGTAGCAAACAACGTATCTCCAAATACAGCAAAGTTGACTCATCTATTTATTATGTGGCCTCATGTAAAAACATTTTGCTAGCAAATGTCAAACATTGTAAAATTTTAATTATTGTTATGAAACATCAAAACGCTGTGTTGAAACCTAAAAATCCCCAGAAATATATGGGGTCAGCCATGAGTATCAATTCATTTAAAGTTTAAATTCAGTTTCACATAAAAACAAACACGCTAGCATACATGTGTCGCCGTCAAGCTAACTTTCTATTAGCAGCTCACAAGCATTTTTGGTAAACATTAAATTAGATACAAACATATCTTTGTCTAGGCTTTTTTATCTTCTTCCTCTTCCTCCATCTTTTCTTTGTCCCTGAAGGATATAGTCCTTTTTTGTGAAATCATTTAGCCTACTTATCTTCCACCGGTGCTTTGCACAGTAGCTCGTTTCACTGGTGAAGCGTGACCGACTGCGACCACAAGAGGGCCCCCAAGACCAATTTCTTCTTCTTCTTTTCTATTATGGCGGATTGCAAGGAACTCAAGGTGCATTTCGCCACCTACTGTGCAAACATGAATGTCTAACAACACTACCTTAAATTCTAGCAAATAAAATTATTTATAGGCTACTAGATTTTTTTTTCCCTGAAAGTTTCCTCCCACAGATGATATGAAACAAAAGAAAAAAAAAATAAGTAATGAATCATATATAGCTAAAACCCATCACAGATACATCATAATAATTACAATGACGAATCAAACCATAACATGCTATTAGAATGTTGTAACAGTGATAGAGTCTGCATGGTAGTTACAGCTGTTAGTGACAGCCTTTAAGAATTGAAGCACATGTTTTCTTTAGTCATTATCTGAATTCCCTCTGGGTTTCCAAATTGCATAATCCAGCTGACCTCAATTTGTTGAACCCAAGTGATTGTACTTTTCAGAATATGCTTCAGCAAACAGACTCATCCTGACACCCCATCAAAACTCACCCTGGCCCGAGTGGTTGCCATCTCAGCTGAAGTTACTGCTGGGTTCCACGAGGCAAAGCTTGACTAGAGTGAATTGATTCATGGGGATTAGAGATTAAGACTTCCCCGGCCGCTTTGGTGGAGTAAATCTGGGGATTATGATGTCAACAGCCTATGGACGCTAGAGAGGAAATTGAATTGTGAGGAACGGCAGCAGTTATGGTGCAGGATTACAGCGTAGTTAGTAAAAATCAGAGATGAGAGTCCATGTCTGTGCTTTTCTCCTGCTCAGCAAAACCTCCATGGGAAACCATTTACTGCCTTCGGACAGTAGAAATTGCAAACATGACAGGGATAACTGAGTGAATATTTCTGATGTTATTTGAGGGTTAAGAAGATTTCTCTCTGTGGTAATCCTCCTCTGGTCTGGCCTTTGAAGCATCAGGTGGTGAGTACTACAAAGTCCAACAGGAACTACTTTCATTTAACAGTCTGACAAGAATATCTGACGATTTTTACACCTCAATCCTTAGGGACCAAAGCATCTTGTTGAAGGCTAACACTACAGATAGATATAGTTCTGGTAATGGCTGAAGACAAAACATTTCACAGTTAGAGCTAACGTGTTATTCTGTATCTGCTTTTTCTTTTTGTTCTGCAAGACAACTCCAGTTGTGGCTACTCCTCCCGCTCCCTCAGCAGCTCCCAGTGTTACATTTGAAGGACTCTCAAAAACCAAGAAGATGAAGGTGAAGTTGGCCCATTTGGGTTTGGTCTTCTTCCTCCTTCTGTCTCTGGTGATGACAGGCTGTTTTCTTTGGCAATATCAGATGCCAAAACTTAAGCCAGGTGAGAGCCACAGTCATGGTGTTAGGTAATGGGTTTTTAATGTGAACCTTTGTTCACTCAAATATTTGTCATTAATGTTTTAAAGTGGATCAGCTTCATATTGAAAGTATTCTGAATAGATTGTTAGGATTTTTATCACTTTTAATGATACCTTAAAAGGTTTTTCACGAGGTACATAGGACTTCACAAGTTTAAGATTTACATTACTAGGTTACATACATATAGCAGTATTTGTTATTAAAATGGTGTTGGAGGATATTAGTTTCTGCAATGTCGTTCATTTTTTGTTTCAGTTACTTGCTAAATTATTAACTAATGTTAATTTATGATGTTTCGTAAAGCAGCAAGTAACCTTACAGCTTGACTAATTATTGTTTAACTTGTCAACAACAATTAATAACTTTTTATTAAAACTGTAAACTGAAATAAAGCAAAAATGTACCTCACATAGTACTATGAGTTTTGAGGTCACCTGGTTTCTCAGCAAAAGTTTTTTGCTACTCAAACCCACACAAACATTCTTAAAATTGGTTGTATTTAGAACTTGAAGGTCAGGTTTCAATTTTTATTTTCTTTTTACTTTTGTTTTTAAGGAAAAGTAAAAAATTTGAAGAACGTTCTGTAATTATGTGTTTGAAACTTTGCTAAGCAACATTTTGATAACGTGACATTCCTCAGAGGTCATGAAGCCAATTTTCATTCTTGACCTTGAAGGGGCACCCCTTTTATATTCTTTTGAAAATATGTCATTTGCAGACCTGTGCTATACCACAAGGTCTGAAACATACAATATTTTTGTTTTTTATCATGTATGTTTTGTGAGTGCTTAACAAACAACAGGCTGTGAAACTGCCGTTAAATGTCAGGATCTCTACAAGTAGAAAAGTGAATGGCAGCATTTTAAACAAAGGCAGAAACTGAAATATGTAAACAACTTGCAGACAACCAGATTAAACAAAAAGTTAAAGGTTTATCTATAAATACATGAAGTCAGAAAACATTGTAAATTTAATGTATTATTTGGTTCTAAATGCACAAAGATTTAATGGGATAAGTCTATGATTCTAATACATTTCATTGAATTTTGAGAAGTGGGACAAAATGGATTAAAATTTTCCCTATTTTTTTATTATTCCTCAAGTATATGTATTCAAATATGACAAATAATGTTTTGGAAAAGATGCTGAGGTGCGGGCTCCCAGTTGTAACATTTTTTTTGAAAATTACATTTTTAATGGACCTGACCCAGAACTTTGTCATCACCGTCTGACAAAAATAAATATAAAATACTTTTTTAATAAACCTATTAGTGATATTTGTACTCAGTATGCTTTTCCAGAAACAAAATAAATAAGTCCATCTGATGGAGTTGACACAGAACTGAAGGCAATGACAAACTGGAGAGTAAAAAGAAATACTTGATACAGGTGAAGTAAAGTCATTTATATAAAATGTATTAACATTAATTAACTGCACACTTAGGTTGTTGTGCTCACATGGTCCAGGTTAGTTTAATCAGATATTTCAAAAATATATTTTTTGTGTATATTTTTTTCAAATTTTGTGCTTTATCCATAGGACCTTTTTGTCCCTCTTCTCAAGAATCACTGATTTGCTTTTCTTTAATTGGAATGACAAAAGATGAGACTTCTTATTTCTCTTAGCAGTTGACAGGCAAGTATTTTACTTATTAGTTATTTTTGTAAAATTCTTGTCAAAAATCTGTGTGAAACTGGGTTAGTTTATTGACAGAGCTGCAAAGCAGAACTAACAAAGATCATCCATTTAACTCAATAAATTAAACAAACATTCTCAAGTTGTTTCTTTCAATTGCAATTCCATCTGTAGATTTGTTGTTCAAATGTAAACATTGATGCATCAGTTGATAAATAATGGAAACAAATCTATCAAAAAAATCTGTAAAAAAATCCCCCAAAAATCTGGAAAATTGTGTCAAAAGCCTAGATTTCCAAGTCAAGGATGCACAAGATTTAGCATTTCTGATTTTTATTTTTCATTTTTTTGTTGAAAATTTAAGTAAACATGAAAACTTTAGTTTATATAGCACTGTTTTTTATGTCTTTATTTCTAATAGGTGTAAGAGTAGTTGATAAGAATCAGTTTTTAAATGTATAAAAAAATAACTATAACAAATTAACTTCAACAAAAGTATAAAAACACAAAAATACCCTATTTTTTTAACATATTGTCACATGTATGTATAAGATTAGAAATCTCACCAAAAGAAAGCACTGGCTTACACTGGAAGATGACTGTTTTTATTCAAAAACTTTATTTTATTCTTTTTTGTGATGTGAGTTTACAATATCAGGTCAATAGGTGGCCTGAGGCTACGGTGACATATGCTGAATCATCAGTGTTAAGAGCAAAAGCAGGTCACATCTTCTTTCATCTGGGAGTTGCATAGAGAAAATCATGTCCAAATATACCTTGTACGATCAAAAGGATTCATCAGAAAGCAGAGATAATTAAATGAAACGCTCAGTCAGCCAATTAAACCTCATCATTCCCGCCATTGCAACCTGGATACTGTATTCTATCAAATGTCAAGTGGGATTTACGTATAAAAAAGCTGTCTCCCAGCAGGCTTTATCTGACATTTATTATTCCTTCTCTTTCCTCCTTTCTCATCCATCAACCAGATGAAGAGATGGGTCGTAATGCCAATTCAGAGATGATGTGTCCCCGCTTTCCTGAGCCTCTCCCTTTGGAACATCCAATCCCCAGTCTCAAAGAAGCCCTGGAAAAGGTCAGAAAAGTTAACAAAGCAAGGACAGTTTGCAGTTGTTTCACCATCATGCTCACTCAAAAATGAGTAAACTGAGAGGCTGCGTGGATAATCCTTCACACCAAATGTTGTTTTACTCCACAGAAGGAGATTAAAGAAACAGCAAATGGGGAAAAAATCAGTTCATTGGAGCAAAAGGTTGTGTTGTGGGCTGCAGAAAGAAGCACTTTAACATCTGATGACAGAATAAAGTACATACCCATTAGTAGTAAGCGCTTAACTCCATTAAGTAAAGGAGCAGACAAACATTATCATCACATTTATCATTCTGCATTAAATCTCAGCAGCCATTTAATATTTGAATTTGAATTCTAAGTTTTCAATCTGTAAGAAGTCTTAATTTTAATTTGTTTATTTTCCACAGACATAGTTAGAGCCTTACATAAAACATGTTATGATTTATAACATGTTTATAACATGTTAGGTTGTTTCACTACCTAACATGCATCCTAAAGCAAAAAATAACTAATATTAATAAACATGTTTTTGCTTTACAAAATAAAGCAAAACAATTTTTGGATCAACCTTTCTCTCTATTCAGAGCATTGAACATAATCAAGTTTCAATCAATCAATCAAGTTTGTATAGCAAATTTCAGGAACAAGGCCCTTCAAAATGCTTTACATCATAAAAACACAAAAATACAATCATAGAAGACACCACACAGTTAACAATTGTAAAGGTTATATGCACTTACATTTTGCAACTGCATGTACAAATACTTTTGGAATGATGGGAAGCCTGGCATGAGGTCAGACAAATAAATTAGCTCTTGTTGGAATTGGGGATTGTTGAATTAGGAGTTTTCAATGAACAAAAAGTTGAACATTATTTAATTTACTTGGAGCATTCATTTTATTAAGTGATGTTGTGTAGCACAACCAGCAGACTCCATCCTCTTCTTCCAGGTTTCAATGCTTTAACGTCATATGGGCACAATTGATTGGATAAAAAAAAAAAAAATGACGATGATTAAATCTATATCAGGCACCAATGGTTTTAGAGTCAAAATAATTCACAGAGTGGAGAACGGCTTCTGAGAGCAAGGATCTTGTGTAGTGATAGTGATATTTTTGTGCACATGGCTGCAAGCAAGTTGTGAAATTTATTTGCAAGGATTTTCATTCTGACCACAAAATACAACAATACCACACATTTAAGAATCTTTTTCCATCTCCACAAGCTCCATAACTCACTTGGACATGTTTCGATTGGAGGAAATTTGGGAAACCTTCACTGTCAGGGCAATATTGATACTGCTAAACTAAATAAATCATGACTACTTTCTGTTCACTAGATAATTTACTACTTTTTTCAAAAAGGATCAGGTAGAAGATTTCATGATTTCTAGTACCAACCTCTGTACATGAGAGGCACGGATTAGAGACATATGATTTCTGTTTTAACAAATGTCCTTGACCTCGTCACAAGATAAAGGAGATTTTTGTACAAATTTCCTATGAAACATCACTGTGAAAGCTGAATTTAGTTCCCAATTCAATTAAGTAACAATCAAGTTCTTGTCTAACCTTTTAAACTCAACCTTTAAAGAACATTAACAAAATGCAGGAGATTCCACGATATAACAAGTTACTCACTTTTTTGACAAGGCAAGACATTTTGGCCTAACCAGAGTTTCTGCTGCCCCATGGACTTTATAGCCATTAAAGGACCCAGTACGGTATGTCAAACTGTCGATGTGCGGTCACATGGTTTTTGGAGAACAAAATTATGTGATTTTTATTATGCAACTGCAAAAATGATAATTGATTTTGGCAGTTTGGGTCGACAATGCAGATTCCTTTAACTTGAATTTTTTCTTGTTTGACTTGTTCACTGGTCAAACCTCATGGGTTTGACCAGTGAAGTTTAATGCATGCTCAGAACTTTTACAATGTAACAGACACAACAGGAGGGAATCTCACCAAGACTCTACAAATACCATTAATATGTGTGATTTCATGCAGTTGCAGGGCCTTAATCTGGTGTGCTACTATGCTTACCATAAAGTGAGTGAAATTTAATTGACATGAACACTATTACCAAAGGAAACAGGCAAATTGATTTTCAGTCCAGATGTATATTCAATTGCATTGTAAAATATTTTTAAAAACTGTTTTCTTTGTTACAGGTGGATGTTTTGTTTCGCCAAAGCATCAACCCCATCAGCCTTCCTGCTCTGTCTTCCATTGTGATCTTAAATGATACAGTTTTGTGGACTGGCAACTTTGGAAAGAGGAATGCCAGTGATCCTCTGTCAGGCCCACCCAGTGAATACACAATCTACAGGTTGGTTCTGCCTGGAAACACAAATTCCCATATTTGTACTTTTAAGAACCTTATTTGTTTGTTAAATGTATGTCATGTATACTTGTATTGTGATGATTGCTCTAAATACTGACATTTCACTTGTGTATGCCCAGACACATGAAAAATCAGAGGGAACATTGCTTGTCAGTAATCCCTATTTTAAGGACCAATGGGGCTAATTAAATTAAGTTCAAAACATAATTTAAATTAAATTAACACATTTTAAGAAGCAATTAAAATAAAATGTGCTTATAAAAGCAGAACAAACGATTGAATCAATGTGCAGTTCAATTAAAAGGTGCCTGAGGGTGCTGCCTGGTCAACAAAATAACAAAACAAGATAAAAAAAAAAGTTTAAATCTCACATAATAGAAAAGGAAAAGTATTTTTTTTAATTTATTTGTTTTTTTTTATGATCTGCATCACAATGATCTCTTTAAAATACTTAATCGGAAAATCATACTCTTGTTTGCCCCAGATGAGTTGTTCCCTCTCCAGAGCAATCAATGCCCATTATTCAAGCAGCAAAGAAGTGATCTACCCACAGCTGCCCCAAATGGCAATTCAGCATGTGCATTCGGGTCTCTTTGTAGTGCAACTGTATTGGTTTCTATTGTGTTAACAAAACTCTGACGGGCACAATGCTTGATAAGAACTGTAATTTTGGAGACTTTGGAGGCTGAGTCAGTGGCTAAGGCCACTCCTGAGCGGGTTTTATACAACTCTGTGCTGACAAAGGCTTGGTCTGCAGTGATAATTGTTTACGTGTTATGTTTCTCTTCCAGCAGGATCCTAATTAACATGTCTTCCTTGTAAAGACATAGATGTCTTCACTGATATTGTATTGAGTAACTAGAGCATGTAGTATAGAGCAGTGCTCTATCTAATTGTTCTGTGTTGCTGCAAACTATCAGTAAAATTGTGTGTCATAGTAACTTTATAATACGTTGATACTACTTCAAAATTTCTATGATTAGAATGTTTAAGAGTTGAAACTTAAATCAGAACCAATTTCAACACAACGCTGATTGTTGGTAAACTGACAGAACAGATTCTATTGTTTATATTTTGTGTTTCCCTGAGATAAATAAGCTCTATCTGTAAGGTTGAGTATGACCTTAACATAGAAGAAGTTAATTACCAGTATCTAAAATAATGAATTCTTGTTCTTCTGGTAATGATCCACATCTCAAGATGGATGACAAAATGGATTAGAAATAAAGAGTTTTTCTTTTCTTTTGCTCTACTGTTTTGTCACCATGACAGCTCAGAGTAATGCCCAGATTGCAGCAGAAGAGGACTCAATTTGTCTTTTCATCTCCCTCTCCTTACTGCCAGAGCCCATGAACAAAAAACCAAAGTACATCATGTTGAGGCACAGACATGTGAAGAGACATTTCATTCAAAACGAAATGAATGAATACTGTTATTAAGAACTGATTAGTAAATGCTCCATCAGATAAATAAAACTATGCATGAAATAAAGCAAAGTAAATGATGGGGAGCTTATTTTGTAAATGAAAGTTTATTTATTTATGTTTGCTAATTGTGGTACCAAGATAGTTATCCTTAAAGGAATTTGTTTCCCCAGCGTCAGAATGACAGGAGTCGTGTGAGCACAATAGGCTTTACTTTCCCTTGTAAGAAGAGTTAAGCTATGTTCATGTGTTCTTGTTTTGAAAGATTTAGGACTACCAGGGTATTCGTTGCCTCGACTGGGTTGTGTTGATTTGGTTGTGGAGAAGATCCTTTGATAAAACAGAGACTTTACACCCTCTTCATATGTAGAAGCTTTCTGTCTCTAAGATCAGATTACAATAGAAGATAGAGGCCCTAATGTTTCTTCTCATCTCCCAGTCCATACTGCCACAGCTTGTGTACAAGAAACCAAAATATCTGAACAGTCTGGACTCTAAATACAGAGTGCATCTAAATATAAGAACATAAAAAAAGAAAGAACCTGAAATAAAAACAAAGCTAAAAATAGTTTATGAAATATGTATAACAGCTTTACAAAAATGAAAGCTTGGTATAAAGCTTGCTTTAGGCCTGACTGCAAAATCCTCCAATGGATGCTGAAGGTTATGTTTTGAAGATGCTAAGAGAATAAGAGTGTCTACAAAGCAAATATGAAAGCCTGATAGCCACGTAGCAGACACTCCTCCTCTCCTTGACTTGACATCCAGTACTTCAATACCACAAACAGAGACAAGTAAAGGACCTGAAGGAGTCAAACTCATACTATCAATAAGCTTTGTACCTTGAATGTGGACAAAGTGCTTGCTTGAATATGCGAGGATGAAAACAGTTATCATAATTATACATTTTTATATAGCGTGAAACACATTTTTGCTTTCAATGAATTGACAGGCATGGGCATAATTGTTGGTACCTCTCTGTTGATGACCGAAAAACTCACAAAGTTCACTTCAATAACTTAAAACCGCACAAACGTAATAGCAAAACAAAATGACTGAAAATTAACACAATGAAAATCAGACATTTCCTTTGAAATGAGTTTCAACATTTCATTAAAAAAAAAAAACTGCCATACATGTTTACATATCCTCATATCATCAAAAGCTAATAGTGTTTTTTTGTGTGCTCCTGACTTTGGCACCAGTTTGGACACAAGAATTTGAGTACATCTTTTTAAGCATGAGAGTGGTGCTTTGAGCTAAAATCTAAGATTATGCTTTTTACATGCCTAGAATAAGCTCTTCCCCAAGCTGTCAGAAAGATACAAATGTTTCCCCGAAGACCTGATTGGTTCTGTTTACTTCATTTATTGTGTAGCATTGGCTATGTGATGAAAAGGGTTTCATGTGAAATTTCTTTTCCAACTGCAAAAGAGCACAAACATAACTGAAGATGTGTGAAAAAAGTTTTGAAACCTCTTAGGGAGCAAATGAGGTTCAACATCAAACAACTTCAGAAAGAAAACTTTCAAAATCAATACAGATGAAGTTTAGTTATCCTGACAGAAAATCCCCATGCTAAGACCATTCTTCACCATGACGTGATAGTTTCATCCCTCACTCCTTGCCAGATCAGTCCAATATCTCAAACTCTTCAGTTATATTTCCAATGAAATACAGCTGTCACCTTCACTCATGAAAAAAAACAACAAACAAACAAAAAAATGCAGTTCCAATCTAAATAACCAACAAACATGATGGTAGTTTATCTCAAAGAATTTACGTAAAGCAAGAACATTCTACAAGATGTTTCCATTGTACTGTACAAAATGTTGCTGTTTCTGTTTAGAGATAGAGGTAGAAGAATGCTAAAGAGATTATTGACCCCCTTGCACTACGTACACACACTAAATTGGAGGGCAATTTAAAGAGAACACTGACCAAGCACACCGGTCCTTGGAACAGGTCGAGTCAAACCAAAGCACATCCCCATGTGTGAAATGAGACCCAATTAACCCTTTAGAAAGCACGTAACATTTAAAAGTTGAAAAAGATTTTTCAGTACAACTTTTGACTAAATGTATAGAAGTTCTCGCTCATTCACACTTTCCAGAAAGGACTATTTAAAGAGTTTTCCACTAAACACCAGCTGGCATTTTTGTTCTATACATAGTTGCCTAGGCAATGTTTTTCTAAATGTGAAATTGCAGCTATAAAAGTAAAGAAAAGGAGAAAAGACAGTGAGGAAAGAGCAGTTAAACATTTTCAAGTTTTTTTTATTTGCGTTTTGAATAAACATTTGCGTTAATTGCAGTATTTAGTCTCTGTGTGATTGTGAAAGCCCAAATATCATCAACAGTTTAGTTTCTGTTCTTTATTTATTACATTAATCTTCAGACAAGTTCATACAATATTACCGTAACTTTCTTTTGATTCAGTACCAATGAAGCACGTCCACTGAGACAGACTGAGGAAACAAGTATGAGAAACACTTTGCAATACAAGTGTAAAACATCCAGAATTAGGGGAAGCTGAATGAATTCAGGTCTTCACTCACTCTTCCTGCAGCCAATGCAAAGAAGAAAACATTTAGCTGGATATGTGCTCTTTTCACTTGTATTTACACTTCTGCTATAAAATATTATTTAAGTTATTTCACCTTTTTACTTGTAGAAATATGTAAAAACGTATGGTTGTAAGCTAATATGTGGAGGTAACAATCGCAACAGAAAAGATTTTAGACATAAAAATAAAATAAATGTGATTTACTGAAATATACGAGGTAAAGTAGACCAATAGAAGCACTCACTGCAAAACGTGTTAGCCATTTTCTAAATATGATAATAACACCAAATTAATTATTGAACATGTTTTTAAAAAACTAATTTCCCTAATAAAAAGTGTTCTGAGTTTTAATATATTACTCTTAGGAGACACTGGATCGGTTCAATGTTTAGATTTTGCACATAATGTTTAGATGTTTCTCACATCTATACAGTCAGGTTTTTCAAGTACATGTGGCCTCAATTCAAGAACAGCACAAAAAAATGAGAGTAAATACAATCTATGGATTAATGATAAAAAAAAGGCTCTTCTACATTAGATTTAAAACCAATCACTGTGTCATCTTGTCTGTCTTTCAGAATTGCCAGCTTATCGAAGATTTTTCCAACGCTGATGCTCTACAAACTGTGGGAGGATGGAAAGATCGCCTCCTTAGATGATCCACTGGAAAAATATGTAGAAAATTTCACAATAAAAAACCCCCTGGGGAAAACACGAGACTCTGAGTTAAAATATGTGACAGATGGGCTAATATTTCTAGACAGTGGAGAGGTACAAATTCGCTCCTCCTCTGTCACCCTGCGCAGGATGGCAAGCCAGCTCTCAGGTTTGTGGATTCAGCAGATTATAAAAAACAAAAACATGACAAGAAAACTGCTTTCGTGTGAAACAAAACTGCCACTTGTGTATTTTCCAAATACCACTTTGCCATTTTTCAGTAACCATGCAGCTTCTTGCTCTCAAAGGCAAATCATAAGATGTTTTGTAGCAAACTAGAATTGCCCTGGTTATGCATGAAGAGTCACATTTTGGTCTTTTTAGCTATTTTCAGCTTGTGATACTTCAGGTAATTGAGTGAATCTGAAAAAAATAAATTAGGAAAAAAATAGGCAACTCGGAAGTAGCAAATGTCTCTGAATAATTATAATATTCAGAGACATCGTATTCTTGATGGCTTTAATTTGCCATCAAGGAATCAGGGGTGAACATAATAATCATGTTCAGAGAACTATATGGTTGTCTCATGACACCGAAGTGCTGTTTCAAGACAAGTGAAACAAACACTGTGATGTAATAAGAGTGATTTCTGAAAATCACTGCAAGAAGATGGAAAACGTGCCTGGTACCTGGAAATACATGTTTTTCTTTGCTACTATCAACCAGTAGTTTGGTTGTTTACTTCAATCCCATGCTGCTCTGTTTGTTCTGTTTCAGGTCTGCCAAGGAGGCTGAGGGCTACAAATTTACTCTGGAAAGGCAAAACGCAATCAGCAATCAATCTGTTACAAGATGATGTTCTTGTTGCAGATCCAGGAACCAAGTAAGGCTTGTTTCATTGTTCAGAGTGAAACATTGCTGACTCTTATGTCACTGACGCAAATTAATTCTTAAAATTTGAATTCTTTAATTTACTGCACAGGAGATAAGTGCAGGGATACGTGTGTAAAGAATTTCTCCAGTTATTGTCAACAGAAAAAATTAATCTCAGTTGGTCATGATTAAATCTCCAGCTGGGAAACATATTTGAAACCACAACAAATCTGCTTTGACATACCATGTCTAATAATGCATCGCACAACCCATTCTGTGGATTTTATTTTTTCTTTTACAGAAAGTGTTTAACTGCTTCTGTTCTTTTCAAAGCACTTCTAATTTTACTTGGTTTGCTTCCTTTGCTAGGTGTCACTACAGTAACCTCGCATTCTCTCTTCTTGCTCATGTGATGTCTGAAAGAGTGGTCGGAGTTGATTACCAACGATGGGTCACAGAAAACATCTTGGATCGATTAGGAATGGAAGACACCAGTTTTGAGCTGACCCCTGGGTTACAGAGTCAGTTTGCTGTGGGAGTTTACTCAAACGGAAAACCTGCTCCTCTCTATGATCTCGGCTGGTACCGACCTTCAGGGCAGATGTTTTCTACCCCTGCAGACATGGCCAAACTCGCCATGGTGCTGCTGGGGGCCTATCACCGCAAGCTGCTGGAGCCAGATTCTCTGAAGATCATGTTGAACCCACTCTTCAGGTGTGAAAAGGATTACTTTGCAAACCGTACTGGGACCCCTTGGGAGGTGAATGACCTCATGGGCTACGAGATGCTGCGGAAAGATGGTGATCTGGACGGCTACTCTGCCACGTTCTCCCTGGTTCCTAGGCTGAAGCTAGGCCTGGTAATCCTAATGGCGGGCAGCAGGCCTCAGAAGCAGGATGTGGTCACAAAGGCCTACAGCTACATTGTTCCAGCGATAGAGAAAGCCTTTAGAGAAGCCAAAAAGATTCTAGTTGCTTCCCCAAATCCAGAGCCTTACATTGGGTTTTTCACATACAGCAACATCACTTTCTATGAGATCAAAGTGGGACCTGATGGAGTTCTGATCATGCAGCAGTTTGGTCCTCAGATTGAAGAGCTGATTCCAGAGAAGTACAGGACAATAAAGCTTAACTACTTAGTGGAGCGGGTTTTCAGAGTTGTGTTTGATAAAGAGTACCCTTGTGTTTTGAGAGTCGGCAAGGCTTCAGTTTCGTTGGAAGCCCAAGATGGCCAACTTTTTAACTTCTACGTCTTTAATAAGCAAGGCTTGTCCCCTGGCTTTGATGCACCAGGGCTAAACACATACAATGTGGTGCGAATAGCCCGGAGGCCAACCTTCACCAGCTGAGGAGCAGCAAGTGTTTTTGTGCTTTATCGATGACGTGAAGAAAGGCATGCAACAGTGAAAGACTCACCTGAAATCACAGGGGACGCCAGTAGTATCATTTTGAAAAGAACTCTTGAATGAGAACAGATAAGAAAGACAAGTACTTGGCACATATTTTTTTTCTTCTGGGTGATGTTCATGAATGTCATCCTCACACAGGCCCTTTATCACACCTCTAAGCTAAATATTCACTCTGTGGAAATTCAGTGCGTTTGTTCATCCTGCCTTCTTCTGTTAATGTCTCGCTAGAGAAAACAGCAGAACAACACATTTTGTGGTCAGTCATATAACAATTTTGCATATGATTATTAGTAATCCTGGTTGAAGGATTGCTAATAATCCTTCAACCAGGATTATTAGTAGTAATAATCCTGGTTGAAGAAATGTATCCATTTTCAAACTGTCTTATTGGAACTGGTAAACATTTCCAAACTTTTAAAACAGCTTATTTACAGCTAGATACAATGCAGTTTGATTTAACATACAGTATGTACAGAAAGTGCATAGGCATGCAAAGGCTGCGGCTTCCTGTTACTATGCTGCAACACATAGCAACTTAACTCAATAACTTTACACAAACAATAGAAAATAACACTGTTTTTTATATGAACAGAAGACGATAAAAATAGCTAAAATTGGATCTCAATCCATAGTTCCTATAAAGGATGGGGTTAACACTGCAGCATAGCAAAGTGGCTGTTTAAAACCCCATCCAGTAATTGATCAAAATGTCATATTTTTGTGATGAATTCCATAAGTTTTGTCATACAACAAATGATTTGACCAGTCATTGCTGTTATGAGTATTTTCCACTTTGTTGTTGCTGAGAATGCACCTTTGTTTTCCTGTGACGCTGGTTTAAATTTGGGTAAAAATATAATATTAGTTTTATCAAACCTATATCTTACGTATTTTTTACATTCTCTTCTTGAAGATAAATATTGCCATAAAGCCAGTTGATGCACAAGCAGCAGAAAAACTTTGTGTATAATGTGAAGTCAATAACTGTAAAATAGAAATGAAATAAAATACTGTATATAAAAAATAAAACCAGGTGTCAATATATTGTTCCTGCACAAGCCAGCATTAGTCCTGCAGCACAATTAGCTTCTACAGAATATTTGAAAAGTGCTAAAAATAATATGTAAGTTGTTGCTTTGAAGTTGTGGTATTATTTTTTTGATGCATTCTATCTAAGAAATATGCATACTCTCATTAGAAAAATATTTTTTAAAACATTGAATTTATGACTGCCTTTGTAAATTTGCCTGCAAAATTTCAGCTGCAGATATTCAACAGCAAAAATTCACCTTCAAAATTTGCCTGAAAATGTGATGACAAGGCAATCAGCATTAGATCAAGTCAAGCAGATTTTAGCCAATCAACCATTGCTATGTTGATGATGCATCAAAATTGTAAGCAGCCAACTGTTTAAAGGGGATATTTAAGAATATTTTAAAAGACAGAAATATATTATTTAAAGTAAAATGCTATGGTCACTGTATTAAATTTCTAAATACACAGAAATTGTTTTAGTTTAAAATGTAAAAGAACTCTATTTGTAGAGCACATTATAATATCATGTGCTTTGGTCCACTAAATGGACCAAAGCACACAGCTTTCACTGACTGCAGAAATTGGATAGGAATGGTGGAGATAATTATTTGCAAGTGATTTCAAAGTCAAAAAATAAATGTAACTGCACATGATAAAAGTCTAGTGTTATAAATTAAATGTCTAAAACATGTCTGTTTCAACTTAGACAACAGATACTTCTTCCTTACAGTCAGTCTTTTTTGTCATTTGCCAACCAAGTGGCCAGTCATTTTCTAGTAATCTACATGGTTGTTATGGATAATTTTGCTTTAATGTTGATGATTAGCAGCTTAATGGTTCACAGTACAACAGGGCAATTACAAATGAAAGCTATTAATGTCAGACTTAGGAATCCTAGTCATGGAAAATGTTTTGATTGTCATTCTTTTGCAGATCATTTTCCATCTGAATTTGCTCACAACCCTAGAAAAGTCTTTTTCTTTGAAATCTGGATCAAAACTGATGTTGTGATTTTCGGAAACAAATTCATTATGTCTTGGCTCATGAACAGTGATGTGCTGTTTTGACACAAAGCTGAACTAACAATGCTAATTACAGAACTGATTCCCTGCTATTATTTTGAACAAATCGGAGGTTCAAAAGAGGTTCACTCTGCCTTTAGAAAATAGTCACATAGCACATTCAGAAAGGTGAATCATACCTCTTATTATTGTCATATAATCATCTATCAATAATTAAAGAAAAAGTTATCTATTTAAAACGTCTAAGGCACAGGGTGGAGAATGTACAATAGCTAAATCAAAGCACAGACATTTATTTGTGTAACTTTCAGAAAGAGGCATTGCACAATAGCCACCATCAGTGGCAAACAGCTTACCAGTCATTCAAATCACGTAGATGATTTCCTGCCAAGCAACAAGAGACATAACAAGATTAAGGGAAGCACACAGTACAGCATTACATTCTCAGTTTATATTTTCTGCTAAAACACAAAGGATTTGTTTTTTTTTCTGCTCTGTAACACGTTAATTTTAAAATGAGAACAAAAATAATCAAGTTCAGCATGTTGTCAGTCTGATTACAGCGGATTTCCCCACTTTCCCTCTGGGTCTTCTTCCTGAAGGCATACAGGGTTTAACAAAATGAAGAGAACAGGTAGAGAAATCAGGCACAGTTACGCAATACAGCTGATGACAATCCAATAAAATACTTTAAAAGTATACATTTAAATATTGTTTTTTACATTTCAGACTATTTTGCAAAATGAAATACAACTCATTTCTAAATAAGGATATTGAGGCTAGTATTTTTTAACTGACACGCAAGCTAGGTAGCTTAGGTTTAAAGCTTAACAGAAGGGGACAGCTGCACCTTGGAAAAATAAAAGATTTAAAGCTTAGTTTTTGACTAATTGTGTATTTAAGTAATAATAATGTGTTAGAAGTAAGATCCAATTTTGACAAAAGCTCCAAGGTGAAATGATTATGCTCACTATTTTTTATGCCGTAAGAAAGTCCAATTCACAGAAAACAAAATGCCTGTTCCTATAACCATGTAATGTATCCATTTATCATTCTTTCTACTTTCTTAGCATCATCATGTTTCCACATTAACTCGACGAGCAAAATAATACAGCTCTAAAGCACGTTTGCCTAGTAGTATTTCAGTTATTGCCCTTTTTTTAACACATACAGATACAGGTTCATAATATCTTAATGCTTTGGGTTTTAGGTGGAATCTTGATTTAAACTTTATAAGCAATCAAACAATGAGAAAACCACTTCCAGAGACATTTTTCTGTGTGTTAAGCTTCCCCAGCACATGTAGGCAATCGGTTTTTCCAAATGCCCAAAGGGCCATAAAAAGACAATGGAGAAAAAAACTTAAAACTAATGAAAATAAAAAGGTAAAAAGCATAACGTGAGTTACATAAGACTACAGATATTTGAATCTTAAAGGGATAAATATAATCACAATTAGAGCCAGAAAAACAAAAAGTACCAAGGTGCTCTTTATAGCACCTAGATACTTTTCAAACAAACATGAAACAAAATTAGTGTTTGTGTAATACTAACTAAAGCAGGAAAGCACAACCAGATATGGATGACAATATCTTGTCTTCAACAGTATCATCTGAAAATGTCCCACAATAATCACTAAATGGACCATTTTCATGACAAAGAATATCTTTAAGACAAAATGTGTTGAATGATGTGTGGCCGCTTATTGGTAACAGAAAAAGGATGGAGAAAGGACTTTATCATCTATATAATGTATTCTCAGGAAATATAAAGGTTGGGAAGAAGTTTCTCCATTGGAAGTACTTTTGCCCAAGGATTTTGAAATAGAAGTAATGTTTGAATTAAAGTAATATAAAACCCAAACTTAAGAAGAGAATGCAGTTTATGTTGCAGCTACCACAAATAGTTTGATCAGTGGGATCTCTGAGGCAATTGTTGTTTGTGAGCACAAAGTTTTGAAGTAAATGTTCTTGATTTTTACTTTTTATGTGTTTTTAAATTCCGAATGTACTTCTCCATAGCTGCATTTATTTCTATGACAATAATTGGCAAATATTTTAAAGTTCCAACACTATAGTGTGGTTAAAGACTCAAGTAAATTAAGAATTTATGAAGAAAAACTATTTCAATGCAGAAATGTGATTTTATATGGCTATGCAGATCATTGTGGGAAAGACCAGAATTACAGCTTTTGTTCCAATTCACCACATTTATCACTGTGGTGAATTACAGAGCCTCCAAGTCTTGCAACTGCCCTTTTAAGTCCCTCCATAGGGTGCCAGTTTGTAGAAATAATACAATATAATATAATATAATATAATGTAATATAATATATAATATAATATAATATACCGACAGAAAAGCGAAAGTTCAGTTTACGTCATGATGTCATGTCAGTGTAAAATGTAATAAGATGAGAATGAGTTACATAGCATTTATTATTACACCTAACCCTTAACTGCAACCTGCAAATCAAAAAAGGGAGGCATTTGTCCAAACCTTTTCTTACTAATATGGCTGCTTTGTATTTAATTTGTTCCCTTTCATATAAAGCATTATTAGTTGTGCTGATGTATGATTCCAGATTATCATATGAGAGGAAGTGACAAGGCCAGATGAATTAATTCACATTTCAATGTGACCCCTTCTCTGAATTCATCAGCACATCCACAGCTCCTATTTTCTATCTCTATCTAGTTCAGCCTCTGTCTGGTAAAGACAATAAGAGGAACAGATGAAGCAGAATTAACCTGTCAGCTCTGCTTAATCCCAGAATATCTCATTTATTTGAAGAATTTGTTTTCAACAATTTGTTTCAGAGCCGGCTCTGTTAATGGCATCACTAACTGCCATCTGTTTCTTTAGAGTAGAAAGGTGAGTATTATACCACTTGTACACAATATCCTGCGTTGACTTTGTTCAGTGTGTTGCCCAAGGTCATAATAAGTGTTGACCAAAAGAAGCTACCACAGATTGTTGTTGCTTCCATGCACAATCATCTCTTGCACATGAGATGAATACTTGTGTGAATAGTTTGAGGGACTCAAGGATGAAGATTGTAGTGAAGGACAAGTGTATGTTTGTTTTTATATAGCTTCACAATAAGTGCTCAACAAGTGCACGAAAGAATGAATGAACAAGATTTGAGTCAAAATCAAAACCCGTTTGGATAAAGATTGACCAATTAGACAGACTGATTTTGCTCAACCCATGATTCTTACCTCATAAAGGCTGCTCAATACACAGCAGCTTATAAATACAATGTCAGCATTAATTTTCTTACCTTGGACTGCTACATTGTCGCTATCCAGATATGGGAAGAAATTTTTCATGTTTTGTGTTGAGACAGGATTTCATTGACATCAGCTTCACTCAATTAATGTAACTTCATTTTAACTTAAATCCAGTGTCTGTCAATCAGTTTCACAATCATTACTTCAAGCATATTTTAAAATAATGGTTAAAGACTGTGTTTACTGTATCTTGAGGACAGTTTGATAATTAGCAAACTGGCATCTCAGTCTGTTTGTAAGAAAGAAAACAAATCCATTTCCCCAAATGTTCACCCATAAGTTTACAACGTCCATGCTAATTTCCAGATTTCAAACAAATCTCAGAAAACAGAGGTCTTGCAGTTAGTTTCGTTAACCACACATGGGAGGACAGTAGTTTTCATAGTCAAAGTCACACTAGGAGATAGCAAAGGGATGGTAGAATTTGAGTCCTTAATGTCATACTGAGTTCTTGAACATGACATGGAGGTGTCCAGGAAAATCTTCGGAAACGTTGGGGAGTCTCTTACAGAACTGTTGTCCTCTGAACGAGAGCACACCAGTTCCCGGAAGCACTCTCTAAATCGCGTGGACAGCAAACTATAGATGATTGGGTTTACTGCAGAGCTTAGGTAGAAGAAGATGCCAGACAGGATGTGGACGTACTGATAAACATTGTGCATCACGTCGGTCCACTGGCTGACTGAGCTCCACAGAAGCCGCTCAATGTGGAAGGGAGCCCAGCAGACTCCAAATACAGCCACAACAATTGCTGCAAGATCAAGCCAGACAGAGAGAAAGGTTGTGGTTATCCTAAGAAAATGCACTGTGCTTCAAGGTATTAGTATTTGTTGAAAGGGTTTTGCTTGTGAGAAAAATGTTTGAGTCTTTTTCAACATATTTAAATAGGAGTCACTGGCAGCCTAGAAACAAATGCATTTACATTAGAAATCTTGATAAAACAATAATTCATGTCAGAAAGAAATAATTATCATAGCAACTCCCACATGAACCAATCTTTTAGGTTGTCTAATGTGTAACCTGAAAGCTTTTATGATGATAATAATAATAAACACAGCTGTGTCTAAAGTGATAAACTTGCTTCCCGTTGTATGAAAAGCAAATGTGAAAATAAATCAACAAAAAAAATTCACAAAGCCATTATATCTAAATTATAGCTCTTGCTGAGTGAATATTTGAGACACCACCTACCAAACATAAAAAAAAAACAAATTTGTCTATTCAAGAACCATTTTACTGAAAAGTAAAAGGCTGTTACTTATCAAATGTGGAAGGTTTTATTGCATGTGTTTCAAAACGATGAAAAAGGGGATAGTTTCCCCTTTACCTTTATAGCAATTTAGCTTGAGGCAGAAAACAAAAATATTCACATGCAAAATGTTCTTAACACCTACATGATTTGACAATCTATTTATTGCCAGTTCTGAATATCTGTCTTTCACGGTGCTTCGGTCTTGTCGTTCTTGATTCTCCTTTTCATTCCTCACCTTGTTCCCTATTTGTTAATCTCTTATAGGTCTCTCTCTCCAAAAGAGGCTTAGCAGATACAGAATAAATGTAGCTATTTATTGGATATGAAATCAGAATAACTTGTTATAGGTGGCATCTAAACATAAAAGTCCATATCTTAAACCATTTTTCTCAATACCTGACATTAAATTAGATTAATATCAAAATAATTTCTATTTAGTAAATGCCAGAGCAATGTGAAAGATATATTTAAAAATCTTCTATTCCTTTATTCATATTCAGATGTTTTAGCATATAAATAAGGTAGAAATGCCTTTCAACAATTTTGGAATGCCCAAACGTTGATTAAACAATCTAAACTTATGATATAGTAATTCGTAAAATCTTATGTAAAAACGGTAAATCTGAGATTTACTTTTTAAAGTCAAAACACCTCAAACACAGATTATTTAATCAGATGGAAATAAAAGAAATCACGAAATATGTCATGAATCACATTGTGGGTCACAATAAGTCTGGCCCAACAGTTTCCAAATTCCCAAACGTGCCACTTTGTGCCCCAGGTACAAACATCTTTTGGTGTAAAAACAAAAGCAAAAGACCTTGTGAAGATGCTAGCTGAGGCTACAAAGAGAGTATTATTATCCATAGTGAAACTGCAACATTCTGGAATGAAATGCAGCAGAGACAGAAAGAAGCCATTACTCCTAAATCAACATGAAAAAAGACTACATTTTGCAAATGCACACAAGACATTAATTTGGCAGGATTGTTACATTTGGAGAAAAATGAGAGAACAAAGCACAGGGTGGAAGTATTATGTTGTGTGGTGTTCACAAAATAGTTGGGATAATGAGGATTGTCTTAAAACATTTTTAACAAAGTTATGAACAAATAGGTCCTGTACATGGACAATGACTAAGAATACTGTCAAATTTGAACAAAAAGACTTAAGGTCACCAAAGCCTGTTTTGGTGTTGTCATCAGGGCCTAATAGTTGTTCCATAATTTTTGGGCATAGCTGAAAAGGTGTGTGCAAGGAAGCCAGTCTACAAACTTGACTCATACACAAGTTGTATTCAAAGAAATGGGCCATAGTTCCAGAAAAATATGTGACGACACAAAAAAAATCAAGAGCAAATCGCCTAAGCAGGTGATTAATAATCTAGGTTGTATAATGGCTAGTCAGATGCTTTTGTTCTTGGTTTTTTAAACATTTGCTCAATGAAGAAATATATAGCTACTTAGCATCGCCACTACATCATTCTAACACGTGGAGGTAATGGTCCATTGGAAAAACAGCTTGTTGTCCAAACTTATCCATATTTATAGTCAGAGTAACAAGCAAAACACTGAAAACAAGTGGGACTGTGACAAAGAGGGCAGGCAGGGGATCCAAGTTTAACCTGCAGCTAAACACAGAGAGTAGGACATAGGATGGGGATGATTCATTTGTCTGTACGCTTCACACTTATTAGGCTTCATAGCAACGTGTTGTTGTTCTGGCAACAGAATTTTGTTTAGATTGTTAACAGCATTTGTGTCGGTGAGTGTGAGATTTGGTCAGATGAGGGTTAGTGGGGGAAAGTTTCTTTCATTTATGTTCCCAAATAAATGCTTTATTGTTCTAAAGTTGTTAGTGTTGAATTTTGTAACTGAAATAAAATAGATATCTATTAGAAACACCAAAAAATTTTAAAGCAGAAATGTATTTGATATTATTTTGCTTGCGGTCAAATGCATTAGCGACTTTAAGGTCTTTCTTGTGGACAATGTAGAAGATAATTTAACTCAACTTAAATTTATATTCAATCTTTACCTGAATAGAGATAATAAAGTCCCTTTCAACTGGCTTTGATTGTCAGGACACTATTTAGAAGTGCATAAAATTTAAAAAACAAAACTTTTAATGATCCTGTGTTTATCCCTGTTTTTAATGTAAACCCATAAAGATCTACCTGTTTCAACAATTATGAAATAATATTTATGATTCATGCATAAACATCTGCATATTACAGATACTGTCATAACTTTTATTGTTTTCTTTATGTAAGTTGCTGTTTGTATCTTGCCCAAGATACTACTTGGATAGTGAAAAGAAAATAGGATCTATTGATTTGAAATATAAACTTCTCCATAACAACCACAACAGGTGGTGACATTTCTCCTCCATTGGAATAAATTCATGTACGACTTGCCACCATGAGGAAGTGATTATTCTTACCGGTTGGAGTTTTTATCATCTTGGCAACTGAACAGAGGAGAATTTAGTTGCTTTCGGCAATGTTTCTACCATGTCCTGCACGGTTATGTGTTTGTGATCATTTCTGATCATTATTTGGACTTAAACTTAAATTTAAATGATTGGAAATAAGTGAAATAAGTTAAAGAGAGGAGATGAACTGATCATTTCAGACCTGGAGGTTGTTTGATCATTTTGCAAAAGAAAGTCCCATTAGATGTGTGTAATGGGACGTACAATTTGAATGTTGCGATTTATCTGTGCAAGAGTTTCTTCCAGTGAAGTGATGATTATACCCACTGTAGGTTGCACTGCCAACAGGGCAAGATGATGATCTTCCAACTGATATCCAATTTTAGCTCACAATGGAAAGGAGCTTAAAGGAAGATTCGATCTTTTAATAGATTTACTATTTGTGTGTGTGGAGGATGTGTCTCTTCCTGCAGATTTTATTTCTAATAAGCTAAGACAAAACAACAGTAACTGTAGCTTAAAGATAGAATTACAATATTTGCTGTTTCAGTGTAGTAAATTAAGATTAAGCTTAGAGGATTGCTTAGAGATTGCTTTCAGACTTTCAAGAAATTGAAATTATATTTCTTAAATCACTTTTTTCTGCATTCTAACTTTTTTTTCTTTGGTTGTAGAATGAATTAAATATTGTTTGTGTATTAATTTTTAAACAATTTAAATTCCCAGTTTTGTTTTTATTTGGTAACACTTGTTTTGTAAGATAGTTTTCTTAAAAGTTGTTATACTGCATCCATAGCTCTTTGTATGTCTGAATTCCCGAGATTGTGCTAAAACTTACAAAAATATATTTTAAACCAAGAATTACAGCAATTTTTTTTCTTAATATAATCAAAAAATAAGCTTTAAAAAGCTTATAGTGATATTGAAATACTTTTTATTTGTTTTTCATTACCTACAAAACAACTAATCTGAAGAAACATTCAAATAAAAGATCTGACAAGTGTTTTGTAGCTTTTTTTCTATAACATTAAACATTTATGGCCAACATTCACATGTAAGATAGAAAAAATGATGTCAGTTTTATAAATATTTGTCTTTTTAGAGTTGTTTTTTTCTATCAGACATAATTCACAGTTTCATTTCTCTGGGAGGGTAATCAATAAAGCAACACATTTCTAGAAATACTTGACAAGTGTTTTTTTTTTTCTACAGACCCTCGCTTGCTTATAAGAAAAACTCCGACAGGAGCACGAATTCAGAGATGTGTTGTAAAACGCTCAATGATGTTCTACACTTGTGCTTGAGGTTATATTGGAATCTGCAGCTTGAGATAAAAGAACTTCTTGACATAACAGACATTCAGATTAAGTACTTCTGGAATTCATTGCAGCTATTATTTACATTATGTTGAAAGACACGATGACAAATAAAAATCAATTTAAAATGTTTCCAAAAAATTTGGACAAGACATTAAAGGGACAGCATGATGTGAAATCAAATTTTATGTTATCCCCTTTGCAAAATAACATGCCTGTTGCCTCCAACATTTCAGGCATATTTGAGAAATCAAATGGTTCTTTCTTGCATGTTTGAGAAACAACATGCATGAAAGAATCCATGTTTGAGAAATCTTCTTATAACCACACACACTCAGATCCTTCAGACTAGCCAGCACCAATAAGTGACAACATGGTGGAACTGCGTATTACTTCTCAGTCCAACACTGGTAAAAACTATGGCAAAAAGAATGAATAAAACAGCAATGCTGTGACGAATTCCTGAAGACTTAAGTTTCAGAAAGAGCACAAGTGATTAAAGAGTCAGCTGTCCAATTTCAAGGAGTTAAATTACAAAGTCAATTTTCTTTTAAGTCATATTTGATTTCATTTTTATACCAACTGAGTGTTACAGTTGCTCGATTGTAGTGTGTGCCTGGAAAATACATAATACTGCCCTTTATAGAATAATCTTCAACACCAGTTTAAGGACTGTTGAGGACCCAGATCAACTTGTTCATATAAATTATACTCACAGAGCATCTTGACGACCTGTCCTCTACGCCCATTCTCCCCACTGATCCTTCTCCTGGTGTTGCTGCAGCCGTTCTTCCCCAGGTTCTTCCTGGCATACCGCCTTTCTCTACTCAGATGTATGCCCATCACAAGATAGAGCATGCTAATAATCATCATAGGAATGAAGTAGAAACACACAGTTGTGATTTGCATCACCAAGTTATAGATCCAAATGGGCTTTACCACAGCACATATAGCTGACTCCTCCAGTCTCTCAGGCAAGTAAAAGAGGCCATGAAGAGAAGTGTTGGGAACGGCACAGACCATTGACACTCCCCACACAACGGTGATGACGCGCTTGGCATGCTGATTGGTTGAGAGGTATCGCGTTTTCAGTGGATGCACAACAGCGATGTACCTCTCCACGCTGAGTGCTGTGACATTGAGGATTGATGCGAAGCAAACTGTCTCGAAGAGGAAGGTCTTGAAGTAGCACCCGCCCTCACCAAAGGGGAATGGGTAGTTCTCCCACAGGTCGTAAATCTCCAACGGCATCGCAAACATCAGCACGAGGAGGTCCGACACGGCCAGGCTCACCAGGTAAAAGTTTGTGGGGTTTCGCATCTTCTTGTGCTTTGCAATCACTGCACATGTCAGAAGATTTCCAGACAACCCGGTGAGGAAGATTAAAAGGTAAACTGTTGTCACAGGGAAAAAAAAGGGGGATCGCTTGGGACCGAGGACTTCAAAAAGGTTGATTTCTGTAAACTGCTCAACAGTATTGTTCCCTGAGCCATTGACTGGAATGCTAGTGTTGAAGAGTGGTGCAGATGCAGTGGAACCCGGCAATGAAAGCTCCATTTTAACAAGGAGACCCGGATAAATAATGGGAGGTGACAAAAATCCTTTCTGGTTTAGTTCAACTACTCGGACCTGAGTTGAAAAGAAAAATAAAAAAAGATCAAACATTTTTCTGATGATGAACAACCCTGAGACAATGTTTACTGTCAAATAGCCTATATACATATATTTCTACTTTCATGGTAATGTTTTCATGCCCCAGTTTTTTGTCAGGGAAAACAATCAATATAAATCATCCTGAAAAGGTAGAAATCCAACCAAACAATTTTTGCAGGGTTTAAATAATGTACTGATTAAAACAAGTTTCTATCAAAAGATGACAAAAAAAATACTTGCTACAAGTGTTTAGGTATACAAACTACTGATATTATTCCACATTTATAAAAATATAGTTATTAACTTTTTCTATTAGTCTATACATCCTTTTTTTAAAGCTTATTTTATAATTAATATTACTGTGGTTGGCAACATAGGATATGCTATGTCTAAAACAAACATTTGAGTCTGACTATTTGCATAAACGTAATAATAAAGATTGTTGACACCATTAGAATAATTCACACTTAAATTATACCTGCATTTCAAGTTTTGTTTGTGATTTTGCAATAATTGCATTATTACAATTGCTGCAATAATACATGTTGTAAAAGAAAATGCAGACAGTGAACTAGCAGATTTCTTCATGTGTTGGAAAATGTAGCTTTAATGGGGTTGAAAACATTCTCATCAGCCGTTTGCGGCTCAAAATAAATGCCATTACATATCCTACAATGATATGTGCTCATGACTTCTTCTGAAAGGTCAATTAAATTGCCTATGTAGAGCAAATCTGAAATTGTCTGATACAATGTGATGGAGTATGAAGCATTTAAAAACCAATTCTAAAATAATTCTCTATTTATGTGTAAAATCTTGAATAAAGTGAAATAAAAGGCAGCCTATAGCCTAAAGGATTTGAAATGGCTGGGTAATTAATGCAGTGATCAATTAAAAAAAAAAAACATCCCCACTTTTATCTAATCACAGAAAGGTTACGAATGTTTACCTACAAGACATACAGAGCAGAAAATGTTTAAATAAATCCTCACCTTGATGTCGATCTGCAGGTCGCGTTTTACTGTGAACACGTTGTGCGGTCATGCTTGTAAATGGAGCGGCAGACGGAGCAAACAGTGCACGGATGCAAAAGTTCTTTCGAACGGTTCGGTTCCGTACGGAAAGGAAAAGGCAGACCGAGGTTCCACACCGGGAGAGAAATGGGTCTGCTCTGCAGCTGTGCTCGCCTTTAGAGAGAAATGACCCGGTGAAACAGAGGGGGAGCTGGAAGGAGCCGAGGAGAGAAAGTGATGAAGTCCAGAGTAAAAATCTAATCACAGGATTGTAGTAAAAACAATCAGCACGAATATCGATCATCCCCGCACATTCTGAACTCGGACACAGCGAAATATTTTAATGACATTTTAAATTTACATTAAAAAAAGACAGAAGGAAAAAAAGAAAGAAAGAAATACCTGCCTAACGAACTTTTAATGCAAAAACTCGATCGGTATACTTTTAGTGTAGATACCATAACCTCTGAGCGGGGCTCAGTAATTTCCGCTGCTGTGATGACAAGAAAATGAAAGCTTTCTTGTAATTATTAGACTGCTAAGTCCTGATTATAGCATGCTATCTTATAATTATTAGAAAGGGTCTCATAATTATGAAACTTAAAAAGTTAATAATTTGTGTTTTCCTTTATTCTTTTTGTAGCCTGTCCCTCAATACAAAGATTTAAAAAAGGTTATTGCAGCCCTTTTCATTGCATTTCATCAACATTACATAAACTTGGCTGTCAGCTACTACTTTTTATGTCTACTGGAGCTAATTTACTGAATACTTAGAATCACTCCACAGAAGAGAGTTTATGTGGGAGATATCAGGGGTGGAAATCAATAAGCTGTTTTCACCAAACAGGGTTGGTTGCTCTCAATGGTCTGTTTCACACAAATAAAAAGGAAATAAGTTTTAATGTGTGAAATTTGATTTTGTGGATTTTATTTCCATGCTAATGTGGCATCAAGGCTAATTGTTATCATTACCTATTGCCTCATTGCCTGAGCATAAGATGACGTTTGAGGAATTATTAATATGCAGCTATTCAGATTGACATTAACTTTACACTAGATGTCAACAACAACCCAAATATTCCCCACATACAAAAAATAAATAAAATAAAAAATTGCTTCCCATTGAAGCTATGTGTAAAAAAAAATATTACGATGTACCAACATGCAAACTGGAACTGTCACTGGCAGAATGTGCCTTTGCCACAGAAGAGACCAACATCAGAATTTGCAGCAATAAACACTTTGGGTGCGTTTGGTATAATACATGATAAATGTTTGAAAAACACAAATTTTCCCAAAGATAAACATGGTGCAGGATCTATAGTTTTGTGGACTTGTTCATCTTCCAAAAGAATTTGAAAATTTATTAGATCATGGCATCATCTACTTCTCATGTTGCCTGTGCAAAACAAAATAACACAACCTACACTAAAAGCTATTCACTTTTAGTAGAATAGCTACATAAAACACAAAGCCAAATAAACATAACAAAAGCTCTCCTGTCAGAAAATTAAGCTGTCTTGTGTATCAGACCCTATTCAATTAAAAAAACTGTAATCTGTAAAGCAAGCTGAAGAAAAGAGCGCACATCTTTAACAGGAATACCAGTGGTAAAACTTAGGATATACTAACAAGATCATGATAAGAAGAAGAGAAGGAGTTAAATGTCAGATATTTTAAATTTAGGAGTTCAAAACGTTCCACCTGAGTGAAATAATTGAGTGATATAAAATCCCAAGGTGTGTTGGGGGTCCTGCAATAAAAATGTAGCTTTGTTGATAAAGTTTTATTACAATAAGGAGAGATACTGAAATGTCTGAAGCTCTTAATATATATTGTGATGCTTTCTGGGTTTGTTTTTCTCCAAACATACATATGCAAAACAGCGCTACCAATGCAGTGTCTCTTGGATTTCTTCTGAAAAATCCTTTAATAGACTTCTTGGCACAAGTTAATCAAAGAACAGAAAATAGCAGGGTTTTTTTTTTTTTACTTCTGACCTTTAACTTTTTAAATTGACTGGATTGCTTGCTTGCCTTTGTCTGCTTTGTTGGTTGTTTGTGCTCCTGATTTGCAATTGTGATGTGTATAATTAAATATCACTGGATTTAAAGGTCATATTCAGCACCAGATCTATAGTTGAAAAGAAAAACATAAAAATGATAGAAAAGGCATAAGGCATCATCTAACTTACATGACGCCTTTTGCAAATACGTGTCCTAAGCCAAAAGATCAAATATAATTTTTCAATCTGAAATTCATTTGCGGCAACTGGATTTCTTGCTTAACTTTGGTAAAGAAATGTTAATATTTCAAGCAAAACATTGGCCATAAAAACTGTTAGGAGCATGAGATATGTTCTGTCAAACATTCATATGGCTCCAAAACATAAAAATAAACACAAGGAATAAATAATTAAATTCTAAAAACTGTGTAAAGAAAATTTGATGCAGGCTGTCAGAGACAATTTACGTCAAGACACTGAGGAATACATCAGTGGACATTTGGTTGACTGTCCTCTGAGTTAGAGCCACACAGAGCTGATAAAAGCGTCTCAAACCAAATCTCAATCTTCCCCGCTGAAGCTCCCTGCACAGGGACCAGGCCATGTCTGGGCAAAAACTGTATCTGTGATTATTTTAAAAGGTTGACTAGAGCACGCCAAGGGCCCGTTTCATGAATGAGTTTTCTTAAGTCATATTTGTCCTTTAAAAGCTGATTGGCAGGTCATAAAGAAAAGCCTTAAAGGATGATCTAAACCCTGCTTCCTAAAATATTTTTTAAACTTAATTCAGGCGTTACCAATGTTTTGTACTTCATGTGCTAAGTGTTGTAGGAACTGCTTTCACTTATGGATCATAACATGGAGAGATTTGGCAGTTCTGGTCAGTTAAGCTTGTTTAAGTGGAAGCAGAATTTATTCAACATTTAAAAAAGATATTTGATGATGTGTGTTTTTGCACACTTAAGGTAAGATTTATTTTTGTTTTAAATAACCACACAGGTAAATTCACAGGTAAAATCTCTCAACAAGTTAATAACATAAGTAAAATCTGAAAAAAATTAAAAACCTGTAGAGGTTTTCTGCTAAAAGCTCAGAATTGACTCTTTATCTTTACAGCTTATTAATTTAGATATGTACATAAATATATAAACCCAGTGCTATTGTTGTTCATGTTGTCATATTAATTATATTCATGTTCATCCATTCATATGCAGTATCTGCTATGATTGGTGGCTGATGCCTTGTCAGCTCAGTTAGTCCATGTCAGCAGTCTGTTGTCCACAGACTGCTACAGTTCCTGCTGTACTCATCCCAAAAACGTCTAATTATAACACATATATGTATTATAATGTCTGTACGTAATTGTTGAATAAACTGTGCTATATTCCACATTTTTTTTAGAACATAGTTCCAAAAAACTGTACTATCTTTTATAGTTTTATTGAATCAGATGGATTCAATAAAGTCCATCAGATTGTCTGATGGACTTTATTGAGCCCTCAGTTATTATCAGCACTATTAAATTAGTTGTGCTCTCCCTCTGGCAGCAAAGTTTACACAAATATAATGAATTGAAAAGCATTACTTCATACAAAAACATTAGGCAGCTCTGTCTCTAATGATTGTAAGGAAGTTTCAAAAGTACATTCACTCTATAAGGAATAGATTGAATGTTCCTTAATATATATCATTGTGGTCATTACCTTATTTGCATTTTGGGAAATGGAGCTGGATCTACATCCAAATTTATGTGATTTAGTTTCAAGGCTTTACTAGCATGAAGTAGAAGGACAGAAACAGTAAGAGCAAGGAGAGATTTTAAGATAAAGCAGACAACTGCCTCTTGTCTGAAGGACCAGACCTCATAATGATGGTGACCTGTTACATTTAAATTTAACTTAACAAGTCGTTATTATGAC